AGAATGCGATGTTAGAGATTCTGGACCCCATGAAACCCTTATCCCTCCCCGGTTTTGCATATTGAGGAAGCACAATACATTTAAAATTCGTAGTGTGATATTAGCGTGAGAATAAGTGCGACGGGGGGAGGAGAAGGGGGACAGGACGAGCGGGATTAAGCCTCTGTCGAGAACAGTCCAGGGTAATACGGCCGATTCATCATACCGTGTCTTGTTCGTTCTCCTCTTCTGGAGTCCAGACGAACACGAGGGACATCGAGTATCAGGAAGAGAGAGAACGGTGAGGAGGATGGGGAAATATACATTGCCTGTATTTCGCAGATAAGGACAAACCCTATATCGTAACGCTGACAAGCCCGACCCTTTCGGTACGATCAGATTCACCCTCCGCCCACGCCCTTTTCCCTTGACTACGTTCCATGGATCTCTCTCGTCTTCGCCCTCTCGTTGGAATTTCACACGGTCATGCCGGTGTGCTACGAACGTGAAGTTACGAGATGTTGCGCGATAAGAAACGATTAGAAACGACGTCGTGATCGATCAATCTTTCGTTATGTGTTTATTATTTTTGGAAAAATGAATGGTTAATTGACTTTCGCGACACTTTTTTCTGCGTAAGCTACGGCCCATTATCTACCTTATCTAAATCGTCTTGTAAATCGACTTGCCCGAATCTATTTTCTAGAACAATCATTCCAGAGTCAGATTGAAAGAGTTCTTATTTTTTTTTCTTTTTAATAAATAGAGATGAGAGTTTATCAGATCCGCTTTGTTAATCGTGCTGTTAAACATTAAAAAATTGTTCCACCCGTTTAATTATATTGTATTTTTTGAAAATAAAAGAAATTAAATTGGCGAGATTATTTTACTTTCAGTTTAAGTATTAAAAGAAATTTTTTGTTTCAATTATGTGTTCCGATTTAATAACGTACAATTTTGAGGAACTTGCTCTTAATACTCAAAAACAAAAATAAAGTTTAGAATTTTTTGTTGTAATTATATGTTTGTACATAAACATTATATATAAAAATTAAACAGAAAATTGACAAAATTCAACGGACTGTAACTTCTGCAAAAATAATGGTAACAAGGTGGTTTAAAAATTATTTTGCAGCTTAAATATATATATATATACACATACATACTCTGACTAGAGAGTATATATATATATATATATATGTATATATATATATATATATATATATATATATATATATATATATATATGTATATATATATATAGTTTCTAGCTTTTAAATATATTTTCGAATATAACGTTCATTTATTTTTCACGGAACTACATAAATATAAATTGAAATTCGTCAAATATTAAAATTTTTTATGAAGTTTGCTGAGTTGCATCGCGTAAATAAAAAATCACACATGGATGATATTCATATCGTTTAAAAATATGAATATTTCCTTTGCGCACTAGCTGATCATGATGTAATTTTTTTCATCGAGATATTGGATCGCTTACAGACAGAAAACTAATATATGTACGACGTTCGTCAACAAGTGAATACAAGATAGAAAGTTTTCTCTTTAAAATATATTTATTAGATTTTTGACAAATAACTTTTTCATGTTAAATTTTGATCGAAAGATGAGGTTGAAAAGCGGACGATCGCTATTTCTCACTTAATTCGATATACCTTGGCAATAAACGACAATAACATTATAAATATAATATATGAAAACTTTTAAAAAATTGAAAAATAAATACACACATTTTAAGCTTTAAAATATCTTTTAATTATTTTGTTATCGCGCGCGTTATTTCTGTCAAAGTTATAATTTATTGAATTATGTGTGTATGTTCTATATAAATAGGTAAAAATACAGTCAACCATGTTGAATTATTCTATTCGAGAAAAATAAAAGAGACATCTGATTTATTTTTGTGTGAATTATATCACGGTCACGATTGTCCAATATAGAATTCCTCTAGTCAGAGTTAGGACAAAACATGATGATTCTTGAATTGGTCTACGTCTTGTCTGCCATTTTTAGGGGTGACGTAAGTGGAAGTGAAAGAAAAACTCTAGTAGATGTAAGAGGAAAGCTCTAAGATTAAGAGTACGATTCATTAGACGATTTGAAAAGTGGTATGGACACATACCACTTTTCAAATCGTCTAATGATATTTTTTTAAACACTTCAAAGCGGGTATGCAGCAAATAATCTAATGGATTGTACCCTGAAATAATAAAGCACATTGCAACTTCTCTCTCACTCACTTACTTCCTCCCTACAAATGGCGGACGGTGTCTTAACTCTGACTTGAGAAACTTTGAGTTCAATATAAGTATGGTGGCGACTCGTAGCGGAGACTTAGGAACTATATATTGATGTTATAGCCAAGACTAAAACCATCTTTAACATGATTAGCCGAGACTCAAACCTTTATCAAAACCACCAAGATACAAAAGATCATTTGCCTTATGGGACTTTGCGTACCAGAAGATCTCGCTATTTAATAACCTCCTGTTGGTAAATTTGTCCATAAAAATATATAGGTGTCGATAAAAATCATTATAGATGATATCCTGATAACTAAATGTTTACATGATAATCGCATAATGTGCGCACGCGTGCTTTTCAGACGCAGTAGCATATGACAAGCACAGTGACGGCGCGGTATATCAACATGCCGTGTGAGTATTGTGAAAGCTCTGTACACATCAGAATGATAGAATCGTGCAAGTATGCAAATTTTTTAAATAAAAGATTTTTCATATTTAATTCTTTACAGGGAATTTTATTATAAATGAAAATATAACGTCTATAAGACATCATAAAGACGATTTTCTGACAGTTTTTTAAGACGTTTTATAGATGTTTTCCAGACGTCATAATGTTATGTAAGTTAAGATTATTATATAAGTTATTATTATGTAAGTTAAGATTATGGAGATTATGTTTATCAAATTAGATTTTTGACAACTTATTATTATCAATAAGATAACAAACTATATAGCGCTACTTTTATGACAAAATTAAAATATGATAATACATTTTTAAAAAATCTTATTTCTATAATATTTGTTCCAAGTCTTTGTAAAAATCGTTGAACATCATGAAGCAAAGAAAGGGCGAATTATAGAATTTTAGACGATTAAAATTTAAATCGATATGTAACAGTTACTATGATACGTATTAAAATTATAAAATTTATCATTAGACTATAAATATAATTATAAGACTTACTATTATAAATATAATATTATATTTCTGCTAAGAACATCGGCTTCTGCTTGCACTGTACTTATACTTGTACCGTACTTATATCGTGTTAGTAGACAAACTTCTTGTTTAAACTGCCGTGACAGCAGCATGCGAACACTATCTATCTTATCGATGCAAAACGGCATGGTGACAGCACATTGTTTGACCCGATGTGCTTAGCACAGCGTGCATAAATATGCTGACATATTTGGTTATCGGGGTTATCTACAGAACTGCAATTTCGTAGAAATATTGTATATACTTCATTGTAGGTCTGTACATGTAACGATAAAACACATCTCAAGATATAGTTATAAATTATAAAATTAGTACTCCACTACACACTGAACTAAGAATGGTCGGTAATGTCAACTTTCTTCAGTTATCATCGGAGCTTTTGTGATTCATTTGCCAGTATAAAAATTTACACAGTGCTGACGGTCTTTAATAATATTTAGTCGATGTTAAGACCATTTATTTCTTCTTCTTATTCTTCTAGTATAGGAAAAAAGGACTTTAGACTATTTAGTCGAGACTCAAACCCACTCGAACCTAACGAGTTTTAACGAACAACGCTAGATGGCGCCAGGCAGCCTATTAAATAACAATTTAAAGGGCAAACAAAATATGTTTTTTTCTAAGTCATATTATTATTAAAATATTAAAATTTTATTGGGCAGTAGGACGTTATTAAACATTATTCTTAACGTGTCTCAATAAGTTCTCTCGCTTACGTTTAAGGAAGTATTATTACATCATTATAACATTATAACAAGACTTATATAGGAAAAGGCATTTAAGAAAAGATACAAAGCTTTTTAAAAGATCTTTTAAACATATTTTAGAAATTTTTGCTATCTAGAGACATTTCTTAGAAATATATAACTTGTATTACCTTCTAAAACTTTGCACGAGTAAATCACTCCCTCTGCAAATCTTCGAACGCGGTACCACGCGTCATCATCGTGAAGAGAAATACAGAGAAATACAGAAATACAGCGAGAATATCTTGTTCTTCACGTTTATATCTGAAAAAAAAGAAGACGATAATTAGACGGAGAATAATGGATTGAGGGAAGACACGGAGTCGCGAGGAATAACGACATAATAAATAAAATATCCCGTGATGCATATACGCGCAACAATATATCAGGATTTCATACAGTTAAATACAATCCACCGTCGCGCGTGTCTATTTTCGTGACATCCTTGAATATTTAACGCGAATCTTACCCCCGTGTTTCGTTCTCATGAATAAACATCCATATTATAGACGGACGTAATACGTAAAGTTGAGCCTCGTCAAAATGTCTCGGAGTTTACGGAAACTATCGTCCGCCTTTGGCTATTAGAGTAATATCAAATTCTGTCTGGTCGAGGGGAGTATTCGGTGAATAATACGTTGTCGGATCTATAGACGCTGTAAAGTCTCCTCCGCTGTAAAGTCAACTCATTCGCGATAACATACTGCGGGGATTTTATCGCTGATGCCCTCTTAGGGTATCAATAAAGGGTCGTCTGGACAACCGATCGCGAGATTGCGAGACAAAAGACACCTCTCCAAAACTGGAGTCTCAGGAAGGACTCAAAGAGTTCCCAGAAAAGGTTCTCAAAAAAGGTTGAGATAACAAAGAATGTTCTTACACTTCGTGTAAGTGTACCAATTTATTTAAATCAAAGTGATTGCCCGACAGATATTATTTCCGTTCCCTTTATTGTACATTAAAGGGTTCTTTAACCTCGTAAATGAAATGAAATGAAATGAAATGGAGATGAAAAAAGAGACGGAGTCTCTGAGAATGAGCGTGTTGCAATTTACACTGTCGATCTTAGCGCTCGCCGGATGCTGGCGACCGTTTTCGTGGACCTCGTTGATCAAGCACACGCTGTACAACTTCTACACGTTACTGGTGATCAGCGTGATGTACAGCTTCACGTTCTCACAGTTCATGGAGATCGTATTAAACGTCAATAATCCTGACGACTTCACCAACATCTTGTACTTGATGATGGCGATGGTCGTCGCGTGTTACAAGGTACACACCATGTGGGTGAATCACGAGAGCTTTGTGGTGTTAATACACAAGCTTAACGAGGGGACGTTCAAGCCTTTGGTGCCTGCCGAAAGAGAGATTCGACGGAAATTCGACCAGATGATACGGTAATCACAGGAGATTACATCACCGTCCCGTTTCACGACATTTGCACGCGCAGTATAATGCCGTATCTTGCGGATACAAACATAACAATCGCGCGATATCGTTCCTGAATACTCTTGTCCGTATAAAATCCTGATACGTCGTTATGTATGTTGCAAATTATTTTAGCAATTTTTACTGTTCTGTGACTGAGGACAAATTTGTCAATAGTAATTGACAATTGGATTTCAGTTCAAACTCAGTTCTAACAATGTCTGATGTGTTTGTGAACAGAGTGTAAACTTAAATCTAAATTTAAACTATTATTAAAAAATCGATCCTGAATCTTTCTTTGGCCTGTAATTTTCAATTTCGCAAATATATTAATTTAAAACTTGAAAAGAGGTGCTCGAAAAAAATTAAATTATCAGATTAGGATTATATTATTTAATAAGATCACGTTTCTTTCATTGTCGTATCGTGTGGAGTCAGTTAAAATTTGAAAATAAAACAATTAGATCAAATGTATACAATTATTTTCCACATTTTTTTTTTAGGACCAACGCGATGATCTACGCGATTCTGAACGAGATCACGTGCGCGGACAACGTCTTGGTATCGTTGCTGACGAATTTTCGAAATAGGAAACTGACATTCCCTGAATGGCTGCCGTACGATTACTCGCCGTTCGTGATATATTGCCTCACGTACACCTATCAGTATGTAAGCGTGCTCGCCGCATCGCACGTTAACGTCGCCTGCGACAATCTCATTGTTGGATTGTTACTGCATGTGTGTTGCCAAATTACCATTCTAAACTACCGTCTGAAAAATATCACGAGTCACAACGCTCTGAACTACTGCGTGCGTCATCACTACGATATAATAGTGTCAGTCTTTGTAAGAAATTTCACATAAGACCTACTCTTAACATATTTCTTAATTACGTAGGTATCTCTTTGAAACGCAACATCTTCTTTTACACTTAAAAATTTACGTTTTTAAGTACGAAAAATTTGATTGAAATCTATGATATATCTATATATCTACACATCTATGTCTATATTCCCTTCAGTCGATCGTCAATTATTTTTGCTTTCTGGGTGCTTTCTGAATTTCTATTAATTGCATTAATAGAAATTATATTGATAGAAAAAGAAATTATATTAGATTTGGTTTTTGAGCTGCATGAATTCTTCTTTGTCTGACTTCGACATTTTGCGAACATTTCAGTTCGCTTCATCAGGGAGGAACAACTCGATGCTGCCTAATGAAGCGAACTGAAATGTTCGCAAAATGTCGGAATCAGATAAAGAAGAATTCACGCGACTCAAACCCAGAAACCAAATCTAATATTTATGGACACCGCGAAAGCCTCAAATATCAAAAGAAATTATATTGAGAAAAATTACACATATGAAAATAATTATTTTTAGTTGCTCTTTAAACCAATTTTAACTCGCGACTAATCCCTAAACGCCGCGATGTTCTGGACTGAAGGAAATCTTTTGATTGCAGGTATGCGCGTACGGTCAACATGAGATTCACGGGAATCATTTTATTTCAGTTCGTGACAAGCACGTTCGTGGTGTGCGCGAATTTATACCAGCTCACGAAAACGACCATAGGCATGTATCACATCGCTCTGCTTACATATACGTTTTGCGTAATGGCGCAAATCTTCCTCTACTGTTGGTTCGGCAACAAACTCAAAGTGACGGTATGCGTGCGCGTAAATTTCATGTGATCAGCACGATGATTCACATCGATGGGAATTCGGAATTTGACATTGAAAATTCTTTTTCGCGGCTACTAACGAGCCTCGCGCGTCGGTCGGCGAGAATTTATTGGAGAATTTCGTTCACAGAGCCTGCAGGTGCTCGACACCATTTTTGAGATGGAATGGACGGGGTTGGATAATAAAATCAAAAAAAGTCTCTTGATAGTCATGAATCGCGCGATGGTACCGATCGAATTTACCAGCGCGTACCTCCTCAACATGAATCTCGACTCTTTCATGGGAGTTAGTATAATAAATGGAATACATCGTACTATATTCTCCGACAAGAATTCTTAATCGTTCTCAATATACTCATGATTATTGCAGTTGCTCAAAACGTCGTACTCTGCTTACAATTTGCTAGTGCAAATGCAAGAAACATAGTGGCTAAAAGTGGAGCGTTCTTTCACAAACATGAAATTGTGTGATAGCCATGCAATTGTTCTTATATCAACTGTTCGGTGATAAGTTTATGTGACACGTAGAGAATGTGCATCGCGCACGAATATTTTAGAAATATGAAATAGTTTTTAGAAATATGACCGCATTCTCATACTTTTCAGTATGTAAGCGTATAGAATGAAAACTTAGAGTGTCTCAACAGCTCTTCTAACAACAGTTATTTTTTAATGACATTATAACAGTACGTAACTCGTCAAGATATAGAAATATTATCATTTCATTTACAAAATTATAAATAGTTACTTGAGTTATAAAAATTTAATTGTGTTATTAAAATTTAGAAAGATTTAAATCATAATTTACAAATTAATGGGACGCGGGAAAAGAACGTACGGTTGAATAATCAAATTTCTCGTGCAATATGAGTCAGAAAATTCCAATTAAAGTTATTAGAAATTTTGTTAACTTGAACAAAGTTTTAGTAACTTCAACCGGAATTTTCTAGATTGTTTGTATTTCACGAGAAATTTGGTTAATCCTAAACTTCTTTTTTCCATGCATATTTTCAAATCTAAATGAACATTACGCGCGACACACGTCGATGCATTTCACTTAGCGCATCCTTCAATATCCTACGATGCAATTATGGCCGAATGAACTTCGATAAATGCACAAGAGCGGAAAGCGAATTGCAATCCGTTCGCCTCACTAATGACCAGTCAAGATTCCGTGTACCCGATCGACTGTGGCGTTGCAGAAGTATATCTAGGAGGATGCAATCTTCTTTCTATTCGCGTTGCGCGAGTGCAGAAATCGATATGTCGCGACTCTTAGGCGGAATAAAATGATTTAAAATGTTAAAATGTTTTGTCATCGATATGCGACCAGCTCGTGGCTGGTACGTGAAGATTTTGCTGAGACTACTCATGCTATATTGATGAATGTATAGAAAGAAATCGCCTTTTCGTCTTTGCTGCCTCGATATATCGTATAAAAATGCTTTATTATTTAATCATGCGATAAAAATTGCAAGTAGAAGTATGTCTACTAATTTGCATAAGTACAGTCCCGTACGATCGTACCTTGCGTACGATGGAAATGCGGATGACAGTGAGGAAATGAAAAATATCGTCGATCAGAGCTATTTTCATCGACGAGAAATCGCATCGCTATTTCACACGAGAACTTAGGAGTGTCTGTGGACACTTCTAGGTGCTCGCGTGATACGAAATCGCATTGCTCGATGTCTCGCTCGTTGTGTGATGATAACTAAAGTTATCTCGAGAATAAGAAGAGGCTTGTAGAAAATTGAAGAAGTTACTAAAAGCTAAGAAGCTGGTGACACACGTCATATAACTGTACAAGTTGGCACGCGGTTTATTTATTTATTTATTTTCTCTTTTGTTTGTTGTTTTACTAAAGAGCCGGAGATGCGTGTTTTGAAATTGACATTTATGTTAATTATGCTCAGCGGATGTTTCCGACCGTTATCATGGTTGTCGCGATTTAAACGTATTATTTACAACGTCTATCGGACATTAATATTTATTGTAATGTACACTTTCGTGATGTTACAACTCATAGACATCGTGCTGAACGTCGACAACCCCGACGACTTCACCGACAATTTGTACATGATGCTGAATGTGTTTGTGTCCAGCTGCAAATTGCTTATCATGTGGATAAATTACGAGGATATCGTAATTATAATAAACAGACTCACCGAGGAACCGTTCAAGCCGTTGGACTCGGGCGAAATGGAGATCCGTCAAAAGTTTGATATGCTAATTAGGTAAATATCTCGACCCTTTTTCAGTCAAGGCCCATTCGCTTTATTTGAATTCCTGAGTTTCTTTTCCAAGCAGTTCTAATTATTCGTAAGTATCGTAAATATCGACCTTACATGAACTTCGTTATCTTTTATTAGAAATCTGTTAAAGAACAAAGAAAAAATGTGCTTATTTAAAAGTTTACATACACTGAGAGAAAAAATATTTAAGAAATACGAAATATTTATTCTGTGGGTGTTTATGTGATATTTATTTATATCTAAATTCTGTTATTTAAATATAGAATAGACAGTCTCCCAAAAGCTAAGCTTCTAGGAAAAGGTATATTTTCTTATTTCAAAAGTATTTTATATTAATATAAATAGATATGGTGTATATATTATATATCAGTGACTAGAGCGAATAAGTATTTTTTATTTTTTAGACATTGTTTTTCTCTCAGTGCACACGTGTGACGAGTTTGGAAAGTTGTATCGAATGCGATGACTTCGATTCTTCCGACCACTTTCTAGGTCTAACACGTTATGTTACATGCTTCTAATCGAGACAGCGTGGACGTTTTGCGGACTCGCGTCGTATATCATCAATTACAGACACCGCACGTTGATATACCGGCAATGGGTGCCGGACGTTTATTATTCGTCTCACATATTGTACGTCGTCGTCTACTTTCATCAACTTTTGGGCACATTTTATTGCGCCAACGTGAATATCGCCTGCGACGTATTTATTTGCGGTCTCCTGATGCACGTGTGTTGCCAGTTAGAGATCTTGGAGTATCGCTTGAAAAGCATCAGTCAAGACACGTTGAGCTACTGCATACGCCATCACAACAGCATACTCGAGTCGGTTACGAGCCGAATCTTTTCCTCATTTCGCGCAACGACTGTCGCGATTCAGAAATAACACACGTTTGCAGGTTCACCCGTCTCGTCAATACAATATTCACGTCGATCATTGGGTTCCAATTTGTAGTGAGCATGCTAATAATGTGCTCGTGTCTATTTCAACTGAGCAAATCGTCCAATCCCTCGTTAATGGCTTATATGAGCTGCATTCTGACGGAGATCTTTATCTACTGCTGGTTCGGAAACAAGGTGAAATCGAAGGTACGTTTCTGACTAAATAGGACAAGTCTCGAGGACGAAATCTTCCTGGAAGGGAAATGCGTCGCACAAGGGAATCTGACTGATTATATTGCCATTACTGTACGTTACGTTATATAATATCCGAATCGTTGGTAATATCACAAAATGAGAAGAAATTTTATAACCAAACACTGTTGTCTGTGGAAAATAATAAACTGCTTACGGACATTTAAAATGCATATTTTGCGCGAGTGAAGTCTATATTCGCAAAGAAGAGTGAAAGAATTCTGCATCCTGATCCGCAGAGTCTTCAATTGGCGGACAGCGTTTTCCAAACGCAGTGGCTAACGTTGACCAATAGTCTCAAAAAGAGCCTCCTAATAATTATGAAACGCGCGACAGTGCCTATCGAGATCGTCACCGCGTACGTTATCCCCTTGAATATAGACTCCTTTGTAGCGGTTAGTATCCAAAATTTGTGCTTATCGTGCGGGCCGAGTGTGGTATACTCTACGGTGTACCGAGTTTAAATCATAAATTCTCAACATATTTGTAATATTATTGCAGTTGCTCAAAACATCGTACTCCACTTACAACTTGCTAGTGCGAATGCAAGAAACATAATACAAAAGCGAGCGTGTGAAACGTCGTATGCAATTGTTTGTATAAAGTGTTGTTAATCACGAATATGACTTTAGATTTCCATCTGTAAAGTGTATAGAATAAAAGTTTAGGAATATCAACAGAGTGCTGGTAGCAGTGCCTCTTCATTGCAATCGTGCTCTTTCTGAGATACACACCGCGTAAATTTCGTGACTTGTTAGAATACAAATTTTCTATTTTTGTCTACGCGGTAAATTGCAGTGAATTTTCACTACTCGACTGTCCTCGATAGCTTACTTCCGCCTCCAGAGGAATGTCACGTACGATTTGCGTCTATTTCGTACTCCACCTGACGTATTCTCCAATATCATACGATCGTGGTTTAACGTGTAGACGTGCTACAACAAATTTAAAGCAAACCACAATCTACTCGCGTCGTTAACGACTAGTCTACTACTAGAATTAGCAACGTACCGACTGCGCACCTTATAGGAGTGTATCTCGAACACAACCCTCTTGCTGTTCGCGTTGCGTGTGCAGAAATCGATACGTTGCGACTCCTAGGTAGAGGCAATAGTATATTAAAATACTTTGTCGTCAAAATAACCGAGCGGTGACTGTTTTATGGAAATTATTATCAGCTCATTCGATATTGATATACATACTGAAAAGAGAGTCTCGGTCTACCGCTCTTCGACATATTACTAGTTTCACCTGTTATACATCCAGATATCTCATACGATACATAAGATACACAGATAATGTCGCCTTATTATCTAATTTCGCGATCAAAATTGCATACGAAAATATTATCATTGCTTTGAACTATATTATCTCGTCTGCGATCGTCGCAGGAACTTGATATCGTGAAAATGTTTGTCAAAAGAAAAGATGGGAAAAGAAACATTTGCTGAGAGCTAGTTTCGTCGTCGCAAAATTGTCTCGCGTGTCTGTAGACATTCTTAGGGAGAAATAAAATTTTGCTACTTATGATTCCTCTCTCGCCGCATGACACCGGCTCGAGAGGCTAAAGTTCTCTTGAGGAAACACAGAGAACAGAGATTGAAGACTTGAGAGATTGCACAAGCGATACTTCAGGCTCGTAACATAGTTATATATACGATATATACATATTTATACACATTTTTTAAATTAAGTGCTTGCTCGAAATGCGCGTTTTGAAATTGACGTTTATGATCGTCATGTTCGCCGGCTGTTTTCGGCCGCCAACGTGGCTGTCGCGCTTCAAACGTATCGCTTACGATGTCTACAGAACACTAATAATTACCTTTCTGTACACTTTCGCGGCGTTACAATTCATGGACATCATTCTGAACGTCGACAATCCCGACGACTTCACTGACAATTTGTACATGATGCTAAACGTGTCGGCGTCCGGCTACAAATTGTTTATCATGTGGATAAATTACGAGGAGATCACAATTATGATTAAGAAGCTCACCGAAGAACCCTTCAAGCCGTTGGACCCGGGCGAAATAGAGATCCGTCGCAAGTTCGACGCGATAATTAGGTAAATACCTCAATTCTCGATGTAACGTTAGAATCTGTCGGATTCATTTCAGTCCTACATTTTTTTACAGTTTTATTTTTAAGAATTGATATTTAGAAACTTGAATTTCAGAACTTTTGTTTTTTCTCCCTTTAAAAGTTCATTGTAGGTCTTTCAAAAAACAATCAGAATATTTAAGGTAAAAGAATTAATGTTTGAACACGTATCTCATTGAACATTCTTATTGTTTTAATCTTTAAACTTAATATTAAAATTTTCTATATACTATGTTGAATATTTGTGTGCTTAAAGACCAAAAAATGTCCAGGATTAGGTACGTTCAGATATTGATATTTTTATCTTACTTATTTCTTTTATAAGTAGAATAAATTAATATTTTAATTCAATTAATACCACGCGATGGGTTGTATCGAGTTTTAGATATATAGTGTCCCGCTTATGTTTTGACAGAAATTTTTCATCGATCTCTCTCTCACCATTTTACTCTCTTTAACTCTGTACTGCCCAAATTAATTTCTCATGTTTAAAAAATATTTAGTATATACAGGATGTTTAAAACTAAAGTACTCAACACCTATAAGTGCTGGAATATTTTACTTTTCTAATTTTTTATTTTTCTAAAATAAGTTTGTGATTCTGAAGTCACGTTGGGCAGTTACTATCGCTGCCAACATATTAAAAAAAAGGCATATTGTGACGTTTATGTCACATCAATCAAGAATAGGAACAACATTCATATTGGAGATAAATAATAATAAAACTGGATTGTGACTTCAGAGTCACAGTGGGCAGTAGAAAATTAACACGTCACAATACATTTTTCTGAAAGTAATTGATCGCGATAACTTCGACTTTCCCGGTTACTTTTCAGGGCAAACACGTTGCGCTACGCGATACTAATTGAGACGTCGTGGACATGCACCGGATTGACGTCGTTGCTCGTCGATTTCAGGCAAGGGAGGTTAACCTATCGAGAATGGGTGCCGTACGATTACTATTCGTCTTACGCGTTGTTTTTCATCACGTACTTTCATCAGTTTTTAAGCACGTTCTACTGCGCCACCGTGAACGTCGCCTGCGACACCCTGATATGCGGTTTCTTGATGCACGTGTGCTGCCAGATGGAAATCCTGGAATATCGCTTGAAGAAGATCAGCCAACATAATCTGAGCTACTGTATACGTCATCATAACAGCATATTCGAGTCAGTTATCGTACCAAAGCCGACGAGGTTTTTCACGTTACTCTAGATCGTTGTTATACGCGAACTGTCGCAGAATAATTGCATAAGCAAACTTTGTCTCTCTGGTCTCTCATGAGACTGCAACAGTATAAACTGAATTGCAGGTTTGCGCGGGCGGTAAACGCGAGGTTCACGCAGATCATCGGATTTCAGTTCATGACGAGTACACTGATAATATGCTCCAATTTGTTTCAATTGAGCAAATCGACTGTAAGCGCGGATAATATCGAGCTGATCATGTACACATGCTGCATGATGACGGAGATATTTATCTATTGCTGGTTCGGAAACAAAGTTAAGTCGAAGGTACGTAAGTAAACGGTCGTCAAGTCCGCTGCTTGGAAGGCGAAAGTCGTGCAAGGAAATTGCCGGCAACGCTCATAGATAAGTAAGAAATTCTGTGCACCAATTTAACGCCAATTCGATACCTATAGAGCCTTCAATTAGGAGATAGCGTTTTCCAAACGCACTGGCCAACGTTGAATAATAGCGTCAAGAAGGGCCTCCTGATCATTATGAAACGCGCAGCCGTGCCTATCGAGATAGTTACCGCGTATATCGTCCCTCTGAACTTGGATTCCTTTGTATCGGTCGGTATACAAAATTTTACACACGATAAACCATCAAATCGACTACTGAGGTTGACTTTCTTCCATCGATTCCGGTTAATCTTAGCCGACGGTTAACTGATAGATCGGTCACCTGAAAATTTTCCAACTCCTATCAATTTCTTTCCCAATAATAATTTCAGTTAGTAACTCCGTTAGTTTAAACACGAATATTTAAATTTTCAACATAGAATATATGTATGTACACATAATTACATAATAAGAAAAAAAATTATACATGTTGAAAATTTAAATATTCGTATTTAAAGACCAAAACTATAAGAATGTCCAGAGTTACGTACGTGTGCACAGATATTGCTATTTTTATCTTAAATATTCTCATTGCTCCTTTGAAAGAAAGAATAATAGTCTAAGATAAACCGAAGTTTGCAGAAAGTCATCCTAAGATTCCACTTCTGCGTCCAACGAGTCTCGTGTTATTTCAGATCCTCAAAACATCGTACTCCACTTACAACTTGTTGGTACGAATACAAGAATAGTAACATAAACGAGAAGTTGAACAAAGTTTGTTGTAGTTGCATATATTTATAAATAAAGTACATGAAACAAGTCGTTGTCGCGTTATTTGGCGCATAATTTTAACGTCGAGTTTCCAACGTTTGCATCGACTTTCTTCCACTTTTCCAGCTGTGCACGTTCGATTACAATTTTTTGCGCACATTACTCAGATTGAGGCATCTCCAGTTCCTGTCCGTTCTCGTGTCGTGTGTCGGAAAAATATGCCGGTGAATATGTCGGTGAACGAACAGATGCTGCGGGCGCGAAAGTCGATAAACGACGATGGGATGCACGATGATTCTTTGGGGTTGATTGGGTGGACGGTACACACGAGGATGAAAGCTGTGCGTGAAGACGTGATCACCGTGATTAAAATTTCACTTTAGGCCGGATGATGCCGCGAGACATATAGTCACGTGTATATCGCGAGCGGCAAAAAAAACATTTCGCGATATGCGTCACGATTAGAGGAGTATCGAAAAACACTGTTGAAAATAAAACACGACGGAATGTTTTATTGATGAGAACGCGGCGAATTTATTTTTTCCGTGCAACTTTGTTCCCGTATCTTTCATCATTCCGCCATTTCCAACGAGAATCACGCCACATGAATGTACATAATAACGACATATAATACAATTCCCAGAACATAATAAAATTGCCGGAACGGTAATTCGCGAGTAGACTCATGAAAGTATGATTTCGCGGTAGACAACGTCGCGGAACTTGCGTTCGGGGCTATATAATACGAAGATTCCCCTTGCATGAAGAGACAGTTTAATAAAAAAGAAAAAAAACACTCGCTGTTAGAAAGTCTGCGCGACTTCCCGAAGTCGGAGGGGAATTATAGGCATTCCAAGCTTTATGTTGCCTCGTGAGGTATTTCTGTACTTTTTCACTTAATAGATGAGTTTGAAATTTTGCATTTCACCGCACTCTGCTTTCATTTATTATTGACAACTGTTGCGACGATGTTATGGGATAACGAGCGAATATACAAAACGCGCCGCGAAGCAATCATCGCCAGTCCAAGCGCGGATAAAGAGATGTCTCAAAATAGCGTTTATCAGAACGAAGACTTGTCTTGAATTGTTTGAATTTGATCTCTTAATGTGTCCCGCGTACGTTATCAAGGTTTCGTCAGATCATTGGAATTAAACGTTCCAGTTAAATTGATGGGAAAAATCTACGTGAGTTAACGTTGTGAATTGTGACGAAAAACTTTCAGTTTGCTATTATTTCAGACAATATTGTGTCAAGAAGTATGTTCCTTTTCGAAGAACTTTGTGTACATTGGTGCAATAAATTAGCCCGAATCAAAATTTTGGCTCTATAAATTTTGGCTGTTAAATCTTAAATTTTACAACGCAGTAGAAGCTAAGTTAACAAAGTAAATTTAATTCTAATGATGCAATTTACTCCTACCTATTTGACTCTGATTGAAATTCATTTCTCATATATTGATATTCACCCTTTTCACTTTCTTTGGCGGCAAAATAGGCGTTGAATGGAACAGTGAGGATAAATGTAGGATCAAAATTTCGACTCGGGTAGGTTAAATAGAATCAAAAGATATTGATGTAGGTTTTAAAGTATCAAAATAGATATTGAATGGAATAGTAAAACAAAGTAGAATCAGAATTCCGACTCGGAAGAGCAGAGCAAGTATATCTTGTCTCTCGAACTTGCCGTACTAATGTGTGTACCAGTTGAGAAGGTTGTTCGAGAAAGAACAGGCTTAGTAACGCCACGATGATGAAACGTCCTCCTTTGTCTTCTTCCGCGACAAACCGTCCCTCGATATTACTCTCGTTCTCGTTCTTCGACACGGATTTCAATTGTCGTTATTCCATAGATCATCGAAGCCTCGATTACGCGATCGCCTGACTAATACGCCTGACGGTTTAGTCGACCCGTGCGCGAACACGAGCAGCCGGTCGTTTCTGCGATCGCGAGCGTGCACGTAGAGAGAATGGCGCGTCGTCATTTTGAATGTGGTGCGTTGCACGACACATAATTAAAGAAATATCGACAGCGACCGCACGAAGGGGAGAGCGGCACGGAGATACGCATGCTGGAATTTACACTGTCAGTACTCACTGTCTGGCACCGGTATCTGGTAACTGCGGTCGTGGAAGTCGTCGCTGACGAAACAGATATTGTACAATGCTTACACGGCCGTACTGAGTATACTGAGCCTCATGTTCACCTTGTCCCAATTCATGGAGCTCGTACTTAACGTCAGCAACGCGGACGAGATACTATACATGGTACTGATCGGGATTATGGGGTCTGAAGATCATCACGATAAATATCAATCATCAGACTTTCGTGGCTATGGTCGACAACTTGACCGTGGAGCCGTTCAAGCCGATGGAAAAGAACGAAACGATCATCCGAAGAAGGTTTAACAAAATGATAACGTGAGTATGTGATCCCCAGCGATTCACCATCCTCCCTTCAGTTCTTTCTTTCCACGAACGTAATCCACTGATAAATATGAAAAAAAGAATGATATCGGTTTTACGTGAGTGATTGTCCCGATGTGGGCGATAGCGTAAAGTTTAGAGATATTTCTGGTATTTGAAAAGAGTACGTAAACATTGTAACTTGAACAGTAAGTCCGATCGAAAAAAGAAATGAAAGACGCGCAAGAAGGTAAGAGGGTCGCAATCTTTATAGGAATATAAGTTTCGCTACTTAATGCTTATCGTGATTATCGCTTTCTACATCACTCTGATCTCGTTGTTCACGGACTTCAGAAGACGGAACTTAACGTTTAAAGCGTGGTTCCCGTTAGATTACTCGGTCATCGTGATATATTACTTCTTGTACGCTCATTAAATGTTCAGTATGCTGTTCACCAGTTTTTTGAACGTCGCTTGCGATAGCCTCTTTTCCGGGCTGCTGTTGCATCTTTCTTGCCAGATTGAGATCCTGGAGTACCGACTGTCGAAGGTCACCAATAATCAGAGTATGCTACGCGAATGCACATCTCATCATAATCGTATATTTGAGTAAGTTCCGTGATAAATACGTTCGTATTATTTAAAATATTCGACAAAGCTATTAAAGACCTTCTTTTTTGGATGTTCGGTCGATATATGCATGTGAAATAAGAAAAGATAATGATATACAGAGTGTCCTAGATTTTCCGCAATCTTTGTTGGAACAAATCTTTGTTGGAAAAAAAAAACAGATTGAGGTGAACATAAAAGTCCTTTAATCCTTTGGCAATAATAGTTGAGATATTAATTTAAAAAGATGGTGAATGATCATATATTCGCAACATGGTAGATGAGTTGTAGTGACGATGTGTGCTGTTGTGTATTTGTATATTAAATAGGTTAAATTGAACAAAAAAAGCCTTTTATCATTTTTCAAATAACCATGAGATTTTTAGTTATTAATAAAAGAAAATTGTTATATGATTATGCCCGATAATGCACAATCTTTTTTAATTATCTAAAAATCTATGTAGTCATTTGCAAAATGGTGTAGCACTTTTTTGCTCAATTTGACCTAATATAACGGTAGACGGCGCCACTACATATCGCACATCATTCATCAATCTTTTTTAATATCTCGAGATTTATTGCGCATATCGTAAGATGGTATGGAACTTTTATATTCACCTCAATCCGTTCTACGTTCCTACAAAAACTGCGGAGGAAACTCTAGAACATTCTGTATATATACACCTGAGCAACGTGAACGAGACTATAAATTGTACTTTGTGCCGCAGATTCGCCACTATGCTAAACGAAAGATTGGCTATTATTATCGGCAGCCAGTTCACAGGAACCTGTATGGTGGTGTGCTGCCTGCTGTTTTGCTTAGTGATGTCGACATCCAGTGCCATGTACATTCAGACTCTCATGTGTCTGTCTTGCGCGTTGTTAGCGATGTTCTATTATTGCTGGTTCGGAAACGAAGTGAAGCTGAGGGTAATTTTTTAAGGGTACACCAGCAATGCGAGAATGCAACGGAGATATACAAGGGAGATTCATACTTTATCGTAACTTTAGAGTTTGGAATTCGCGGATAATATCTACAAGATGGAGTGGCCAAATCTCAACAACAACGTGAAGAAGTGTCTTGTGATAATTATGAGCCGCGCGATGGCGGCGTCTATTAAGTTCACCAGCGCGTATATCGTCCCTCGGAATCTCGAGTCTCTTGTGATGGTTAGTTTGACTAGTCGACCGTCGTGTGAATGAAAGTCCAATTTGTTCGTTTGTATCGAATATAAATAATAATTAACTTGAAATATGTAGTTATAGTGGCAGAAAGATTGCAGCACTTTTATCTTGATGACATTCTGAACACACTCAGCAGGAAACTTCAATCTCTTAGAATTACCAAAAGACAAATTTTCTTATTGGGTGCGTTGCGAAACTTATTGAAAAGAAGTGTTGTAACTTTTTTCTGCCGTTCACTGCGCATACAGAAAAAATATTGTGATACTTACGTTAAAATTACATTTCATTTTACAATGTTTTTTGTAAAGCTACTAAACTATATATAGTACAGTCAATATTTATCGACACTATAAAAATAGCGAATTTGACAATATAGAAAATATTAAAGAAATAAAAATAATTTTTTAATAAAAATGTAAACATGTATGTAAAACTTTTGCAAAAATATGTAATAACTTCAGTCTCATAATTTCAATCTGATGCAAGATTGGACAATTTTGTAATTTTTATTATCCCTATACTTCCCACATGGGGACACGCGGTTATTGCAGGTGCTCAAAACTTCATATTCGGTTTTCAACCTGATGCATCAAATGTAAGAGATGTACAATCGGGAAATCTCACGTCTGACAGGACGACAGTGATCACTCAAAATCGTGGATTTAGTCGCTTCACTTCCGTGGAACGATGTTTTAAAAGCTTTATCAAGGTGAGATGAATTAAGTTTACAATAGCAGTAGAAAAGGATGCTGATAGTAAATCGAATCCATCTTGATCGTAAAAGCTGTAAGTTGTAGAGATATAATTTGTAGAGGTGCGTAAATAAAATCACTCGGCAAACAATCTCGCTCTCATATTTTCTTTCAAATTATTGGCTTGATCCATAAATTCGTGTTTCCGTCATTCGTGATTCATAATTCGTTTAATTGGCATGTTAATATATTAGGAGGATATTTCCATATAGTTAACTATTCATGTGTGTATTTTAATAGCTGACATTTTAAAACATATTTCATGATATAAGTGATAGTGTTCAAAAGAAGTACAGTTGTCTTTGTCACGAAAATAAAAGGCAGTAATGAGTCTTTCCGGTGCATTATGCTTTTTTATCTTCGTAAAAATTGTTGGAATTTGGAATATTTTGTCTCACTCACTATATCCACATTGTCTCCTGATTATCATCTGTTTCGCCCATTATAGAACTCCCTTGACGATATAAACTTCTCTTCTTTAGAGGATATGAAAAATCACTTGGAACGTTTCTGCGTCGAAAAAACACAAGAGTTTTGCGCGAGAGGAATTATGAAATTACGTGAAAGATGGCAGAAGATTGTCGAACAGAATGACGCATATATTACAGATTAAAATTATTTTTAACAAGAACAAAATACACAATCAATTTCATTTAAAAATTCGCACAAACTTATGGATCAACTTAATAAATACACGCAGCGAGGAGACACGAACTCCGCGCCACTTCATCCCCTCGACCTCATCCCTTCGTCCCATATGAGTGGGTAAATCCACCACGTCACAAGATATTACTACTCTCTCCGAATTCAAGGATTAAAATTCATCTCTTGCCGCATTTATTTCGCGCAAGAGACGAGCGAGTATGTTGAGATCAATCATTGAGATCAATCGATACGAACACTGATGCATACGACGATGCAGGCCGTACGGTAAAAGAAAATATACTGTTACCTAAGCGCGTATGAGCGTTATAGCCTTATATTAAAATTGCATACAGGTAAGCTATTGTTAACAATTCATTATGTAGCATTTGAGGCTTGGTTGGAAAAATCATAAGAGGAAAAATATAATAGGTTCGGATAGATATACAATAACATCGTTGAAGAATCGAAATAGATAATGAGCTCGCGACGACTTTCTCGCAAAATATTGCCTTTACAAATAAATTTCATGAACCATCCCTTTCTTAATGACAAACGCTACATCGTTATTTTCACAGAAACGACGGTATAGAGGAAAGACGGGAAAATATATCCCCTCGACTGTTCTCGGATCGTTAGTCTTCTCTTTTTTTTCAACTATTGCGAATCTATAGCTACTATTGCGAGATATTATAGCTTATTATAGATTGCGACTTTGCGGAATGAATGTCTCGAATGTTACATAAATTATAGTTGCAGAATTATTAGTTGCAGTTTATCTTTGTGAAATTTTAATATAGGCAGCTCCTGCCCTCGGCAGATTGCGATAATGGCAGAAGTAAAAACAAAAAAACGCGGTGAACGAATGTGATATTATTGTCAGAAGATCTCGTGCCGCGAGACTATAAACGTTCGAAGGGTCTCATTCTTAAAATACATATAGACAAATATGTTCGTCAGAAACAGAACGTTAGAAAAAGGATCAGTTGAATAATAACTCTGGTATATACGTGATCGAATTAGCTGCGGGCGACGCAGTTGTGCTGGTGCAGATTCATCGCGAAAACATTGTAAGTGTCATTAGTGTTACGTAATTGTAAGTTTGGCGGACACATATAAACAGATAGCTTAGTGATCATCATACATACTTCGCACAAGCGAAATTCTCACCGAGAACTAATCGAAGGATGGTTTTCTCTCGATAGACATTTCAGAAAATCTATCGACGTTACGTTGTAATGTTTGTAGCGTGGTGTTAACGGCAATTTGTCTATACACGAAATTACATTGATAAGCGAATGTACGTGCTGCAATTCACGCTCTTGATCTGCGCGCTCGCCGGCTGTTGGCAGCCGTTGTCGTGGGAGTCGTTGTTCAAGCATGTTATTTACAAAACCTACGCGATGTTCTTGGCCTCTTCGTTATATATATTCGCGCTGTCTCAGTTCATGAATATCGTGCTGAACGCCAAAAATTCCGACGAATTCACCGACGCCTTGTACATGATGCTGACCGTGTTGGTCGCGGCCTACAAGCAAACTTACATATGGGTGGACCGCAAGAACGTCATGGAGATAATCAACCAGCTCACGGAGAGACCCTTCGCGCCGTGTGAGCCGCAGGAAGTGATGATACGACAAAAATTCGACAAAAGGATACAGTAAGTATCGTACACATCGAGATCGCGCGAGCAAACGGACACCTTGCGATTGCTAGTCAAAGAAAAGAATGTCTCTTCACGAATAAAAAATAATTGCACACAGGGGCGCAAAATATAATATGAGGTGGGAGCGTCTGGTCGGAAAAAAAGGTGAACACTGTACACTAAAAGAAAATATCTCATCTTTAGTGGAATCTATGTACAGCCTCAAGAAAGTTTTTTTTTAAATCAAAAGAAAAATATCATTGTTTCTTTTGATTAGGAGAGGAATATTCTTTCATCTTATATTTTACATCTTAATATTTGATAGTATCCACGTAAGAGTGCCAAAAATAGGTAGAGTATCGACTGTTAGGCGTTTACTGGTACTTTTCTGGTTTTCTATTTGATATATCGATATCTTTACGAAGTTTACGCTAAGGATGAGATTATATTTTTGAGCATAAAGTGAGCTCTTCTTTACCGAAAATTATAATTTGAAAGTTGTTCTAGGTTGTCCTAACTTTGTACTACATTGTTTTAAAACGACATTATTTTATCCCAAATGCATCTCCAATGAAATGAAAAAAAAAAGAAACATTTTCTTAGCTGACCCTCCTTTTTCAAAAATCAAATATTGTCTTATCGCTATCTTTCTAGTTACTCCAAAGTTGTTCCAAAAGAAGAATTCCGCAAGTCAGGAAAAAAAACCGTTTTTGACTAACAACTCGAACCAAGAGTAAATACACCCTTTATTTTGCGTTCCAATCGAGAATTTTGTGTTCTGAGTTGTTCTAAACCTACGAAATACAGTTCTATAATATAAATCACAATCGATTTTCCCAACATTCGAGTCGAATTTTGCGAGTAATTCGAGACGAATCGATGGTTACATGGAAAAAAGGAAAGTCGTAATATATGGATACTTACAAAATATTGCTGCGTTAGCTACTTTTTTGCTGCAGCAAATTCTTTTCGTACAACAGCAACATGTTCTAGCAACTTGGTATTATGTCGATCTTACAGCAAGAAAATTTGCTGTTGCAGCGAAAAAAGTTGCTAACGCAGCAATATTTTTTAGGTGTCCATATATTACAACTATTATAGCTGCTTATACAAACTTATACAAACAACTTTTTTTTCTCCCGTGCGGGAGCTGTTATCACACTCTGCTACTATAAATAATAAAATACTTTCAAGTAACGCAACAGCGAGCAAACGTCGCTAAACGATATTGGCGTAATAATGATGTCCACGGTGATTTCATAGGAACAAGATGATGTACTACTTGATCCTTGTGATGATGTCGATTACATCGATACTTCTGACGTCTTTCTTCACGGAGCTAACGAAGAGGAATCTGACGTACAAAGCATGGGTGCCGTTCGACTATACGTCATCCAGCGTCGTGTTCTTTCTCGTGTACACTTACCAATTGATAGGCATGTCAACCTCCGGTTTAGTAAACGTCGCTTACGAGAGCTTAATTTGCGGATTCCTGTTGCACATCTGCTGCCAACTCGAGATCTTAGAGCATCGATTGGCGAAAATCTTGCCGGGCCGCGACGTCCTGGGCGACTGTGTTTATCATCACAACCGCATTTTTACGTTAGTTCAACAAGTAGTCTCGTTAGGCTCCGAAAGTACGCGCGCTAAGCGCCTCGTCAGGACGCGCTTTGAATACCCATAAGATCTCATCAAGTTGCGACTCTAAACAACACGAATCCAATGATCCTCTGTTTAGCTTCGCGAAAGGCACTGCTCGGGGCGAACTCGGAGGGCCACTGAGAACTTTCTGTCTAATCGCAGATACGCGTATAGGGTGAACGACATGTTCGCGAAGATAATCGCCCTCCAGTTCGCGGTGAGCATGCTGGTGGTGTGCTCGAATATGTATCGAATAGCCATGGCGAAGAATTACATGAGCTACGTCCCGCTGATGTTTTATACGATTGCGATCTTGGCACAAATCTTCATCTACTGCTGGTTCGGCAATGAGGTCAAGTTAAAGGTACACATTTCTCACGTCTGAACACCTATTTTACTCACACGCGAGATATTACGCGGAAGAATATGCGGTATTTTTCTCCGATGACGCAGAATTCTGTCTCACGTTCTTATTTATAGAGCCAACACGTGATGGATAGCATCTACGAGATAGAATGGCCGATGCTCGACAATAACAAACAGAAAGATGTCCTGTTAATTATGAGACGCACGATGGTTCCAATCGAGTTCCACAGCGTATACATAATCACGATGAATCTCAACTCGTTTGTGGCCGTCAGTATAATTCAATTCAAGACGACAATGAAGACATTGTCAATTGTTATCGTTCGCCGTTGCAAGTAATTTTCGATGTGTCTTTGGCTCTCTTGTTGCAGGTGCTCAAAACATCGTACTCGATCTTCAATCTACTACGTCAGACGCAAGAAGAGTGAGACGGCTCATCAACAGAAATAATCGCGCACGTCCAGCACGTCAACGAATTATATGCAATCATGTGGCGAGGGCCAAAAGAAAATACTTTAATATTCACCAGGCAGTTTGTAATTAAAAATTGAAGGTTTCTGTCGGGGACATTTGCTGGTATTTTGGTCGAAAACTACAGCACGTGAAGAGAAATGTTCATTCCTTCTGGAGAAACGAAAATTGTTAAATAGAGCATAATACCTATATCTCGAGAAACTTCTATGGTAATGTTCAAGATACTACAATAGAATCGTTGCAAAGACTATCTTATACTTTTTCACATTCTTCCGCTGTGCCACGAACGCGACTTAGTACGATCGAACTTTTAGTTCAACATCGTTGTTATTAGATAAACTTGTAGGGATGGATAATTAAGATTTTACGTAGAGACGAATTCTCGGACAGAGAGAGATCTTCTCGTTCACAGATTCTTCTCTCTTATTCCGTTCGTGCGTTCCACGACATGGAAAAGCGAGGGGAACTCAATATCGTAGAGAGTATATGACAATACGACGCCAGATCGTAGGAATTACTATAATCAAAAGCGTGCTGTCGTAGTACCGAGTGTACAGGCTACTGATATAAAAATTTCATACAGACAAATTGCAGCTAATAATACACTAATCAACATTCGAGATATATGTTTTATAAAATTGTCAGTTGTACAAAGAGAAGAGAGCAAATGTAATATTTTAACATGAACAAACAATAAGGTGACTGTATAACAAAGTAGAGGTTTAAGGAAACTTTGCAGCAGAATATCGTAAAAACTGCTAAACTTCCGACAACACACGATACGTGGAATTTATTATTCCAAATATTTATCTGCTATTCCTTTCCTTCTCTTTCCGCGAAAATAACGTATAATGCACAACCCTCGAACAAAATATATATCTCGTGGCCAACTCATGCAAACTTTACGCGTTTCGACTTGGAAAGATGTATTATTCCACAAGAATGTCATCGTATAAGCGCGGTATTACGCTGATGGTAGAGATCGGAAGTTGTAGTAACATCGCCGTCGTATCAGGTTATAGACATTTAGACTGAAGACATTCTGGTTCCCTGTGAATTGTTTGATCTTATGTCAATTTAATTCAAAAATTCAATCAAGAACAGGTGACAGCTCCGAAATTGATTCACATACTTGTTACATAATGCACCTTTGTGTCCATTTGAAAATCATGACTCTACTCAACAATAGAAGAGGTGAAATTTGTTCCCTACTTCTTTCAGAATGATATCGAACGACTTTTACAATTAACTCGTGTTACAACCGTTCAACGTCCCTTATTGACAATATTTTGTGTGTTTGATACATAATCTTTGTTTGAAAAATAGATCAATCGCGCGCGATCTGTTTTTAATATGAGGGAATCTAGATATTGACGTGTATTTACAAGTGATAATACGATATTAACGGGATCTGTGTGGACAAAGTCGAAGAAGAACAAGGAAAGCTGAAATGCGCCCGTTGAGATTCACACTCGCGATCTGCACGCTCGCTGGATTCTGGCAACCACCATCGTGGACATCGCTGTTCCAACATGTCGCCTATAAAACTTACGCGATGTTTCTCATCTCCTCGTTATATACGTTCTCGATCTCTCAATTCATGAACATCATGCTGAATGTCGATAATTCCGACGAACTCACTGAGTCGATGTACATGATGCTGACCGTATTCGTCGCGGGCTACAAACAAGTTTGCATATGGATGGACCGTAAGAATGTCACGTGGATGATCAACGTGCTCACCGGGAAAACATTCAGTCCGTCGGAATCGGACGAGGTGACGATCCGACGGAAGTTCGATAAGAAGATACAGTAAGTGTCGTTTCAGAGAGAGAGAGAGAGAGAGATGGTAGTATATTCTTATAACCAGAGTTGTGAAAATATCAATTAAATTCGCCTCAATTTAATAATTGATTTAAGTAAATAATTTCTAATTTAATTAATTGACCATTAATATAAGCCTATTCAATTAAAAATATTTTAATTAACCACTGACTTCAAAAAATTTAATTAAAAATCATTCCATTAACGATTGATTTAATTACATTGACTATGTTCAATCGTTAATCGAATAATCTTCATTTACTTTCGCTCATTTTAATCGTTAATTCAACAGTTTTTAATTGAATTCCTTCAAATCAATTGTTGATTGAATGATTTTTAATTAGATTTCTTGAAATCAGTGGTTAATTAAAATATTTTTAATTAAATAGGCTTATATTAATCATCAATTAAATTCGATAATTAATTGAAAAGGTAATTAACTACTCGCAATTCTGCTTATAACCAGATAAAATCTCCGAAAAAACAAAGGAGAATTTAAGAATTTAGGAATTTTAAGAACAACTTAAGATAATTTAAATAGATAAGAGAGACAATTTAAAGATAATTTAAAAAATTTAATTTTATTATTTACACGATCGTCTTACAGGGACAACACGTTGCGGTATTTAACCCTTGTGATGACAGCAGTCGCATCGGTACTTTTATCATCCATCATGCTGGACTACATTAATGGCAAGCTGACGTACAAGGCGTGGGTGCCGTTTGATTATTCGAGATCTACGACATTTACTCTCGTCTACATTCACCAAATGATAGGCATGTCCACCTCCGGTTTGGTGAACGTCGCTTGTGAGAGCCTAGTCTGTGGCTTCTTGCTGCATGTGTGTTGCCAATTCGAGATCCTGGAACACCGACTGGCGAAGATCATGCAGAGTCAGGATGTCCTGCACGACTGTATTCGTCACTACAGTATGATATTCGAGTTAGTTTTCTGAGTAATTCTTTCCTCTAACTCATCGATTTTTATTCATCCTCTCGTAACAGTTGTTAACGCTCGCTTGCCACGCTCTAAATAACATGGGAATTTCTCGAAAAGATTTGTGTCGTTTAATGGAATGTTACAAGTTTCCAGGATTTGTTCTTATCCACAGACCCATCGAACAATCTTTGTGTGACTTTACACGCTCGGCAGTTTTAGAAACTGAAATCGACTAAAGGCCTTCTGTCCACCCGCAGATACGCGAACGCGATGAGCAACACTTTCGCGAAAATAATCGCCATTCAGTTCGCGGTGAGCATGCTGGTGGTCTGTTCGAATCTGCACCGAATAGCTATGGCGAAGGACTATGTAAAATTTATTCCATTGATGTTGTATACCGGTTGCATGTTGGCGCAGATCTTCATCTACTGTTGGTTTGGAAACGAAGTCAAGTTAAAAGTATATCGCACCGTATAACAGGCAACAAGACGCACGTTTCGTTAAAGCAGATAAAAAAAACACGACTGGGAAAGCACGATACGTTTCTCTCATAGTGTTCAATTTCGTTATGCCTTCGTTTTGCAGAGTCTTCACTTGGCCGATAGCGTTTATAACATTGAGTGGCTAACGCTTAACGGCAGGAGCAAAAAGTCACTCCTGATAATCATGGAACGCGCAAGGATTCCGATTGAATTTAGCAGTGCATACATCATCACGCTGAATCTAGAATCGTTTGTATCAGTCAGTATCAGTCGGATGGCATACAGTGAAAACCATTTTCTATAAATCTAACAAAGCAAACAACTTTAAACACGTGCCTACATTTTTTTACAGGTGCTTAAGATGTCGTATTCGATTTTTAATTTGCTGCACCAGACTCAAGAATGATAATGTGGTTAATAGTAAGTAGGAAATTGTTGGCGTCATCGTACTTAGAAAATTACGTACGAGTCGTTGTACGTAATTCCTAATAAGAGATACATTATTGGCATATTCATGATGATTAATTAAAATTTCAAAAATTATGTAGAACTTTCGTTAAAAATTACCTACGTTTATTGAAAAATTGTGGCATGTGTAATGATCATTCTTATAAGTGGAATTGCATAAATTAAAACGTGTTTATCTGTATAGAGAGAAATATGTTAGTAGTAAAAACAACTAGAATTGTAGCGGGAATTGGGAGGTATGTTTCTGCCCTTTCTAATCCTTTGTATTAGAAACATAGCTTCGATTTTCGACATTTCGAGTAACAATCGGGTTTATCTGTCACAGATGCATGACGATCGTTGTAAAATATTATTTTGCTTCACATACTTTATTCCTTGCATAAGTGAATGTGTCACAAGCTTTTGTTTATTACAGGAAAATTCCTCTCGCGTTAGAAGATAACGCACTGTCAGACGCACGCATACATAAATACACACATTACATTTAGACAAATACTGAGCTTCCACATAATACAAAAAGAGTCGATACACTAATCACATATATAATGAGCATTAATATGTCAGCGTCGGTCCATCGTAGTGCGATCACTATTATCTCATTTTAATAGTAATATCAGCAGCGGAGAGACAGGACGAGAATAATGAAGTTTATTTATAGACGAGACTCGGGTTTTCCAATTACGTATATTGATTCTAATCTCTCGGTGTTCATCGAGTCTCGCTTCCCGTATAATCATAAAATTATCTGTTTTGCATAATAATCTGTTGATTCGATTTTGTTCCTTTTTTTCATGTTTTGAATCCATATTCATGGAAATGATTGCATATAAAATGTTGTTAGGCTCCTCCTGCTCTTTTATTACCGCGACAACCATATTATTATTTCGACCAAGTATAATTGACGTATAAGACGCGACGTATGTCTCTATGTTTACGATTAATTGGTATTCTGTTTAACGGAACGAGTCTGTCTTTCTTTCGCCGATGGCGAATCAGCACGGAGTAGTCGAACGCGCACTTACGCACGTCTGGTTTTCCTCGTATGTACAAAGTGGTCGACCATTCCTAAGAGTTCACGGAAGACATCAACGGAATTACGACTGGAAACGGAAGCACTTTGACCGTACGGCGTCTGCGGCCGTCATCGTTCCGCCGGGTTCGGTTTGTAGATCGGTCTACTGTTGAGCGGGTTGTTCGTGTAGACGGCGTTGGTCCTGACCTGTCGATACTGCGGCCGTTTCTGTCGCGTGCTCCAATGAAGATAACTGTACCATACCGCCACCAAGGCGCTCAATCCATTGCAAGCGGACGAGAAGATGAGAAGCATCGTCAAGATACCTTCCACGTCGGGGCAATTAAGGTCCACGTATCTGGCGGAACGTACAAAGTATAATTGTCCAAGTATTAGTATCAATGTCATAGTCGCAATATGCGCGATATCGCGCGAAGTTGCGACAAACAATAACTTGTTTCGAGATTATGACTCGCGTACTTGTAATCATGCATCGTGCACGGTTATTAGTAACTTTTTTTTCAGGCAGCTTCTGAGAAATACAACTTAAGCATGTAAAACTGGTCAATCCGTGCTTGACTTTACAGCATACCTGACTGCACCTTCCAATGAATCAGGCGGCGCACCGCGCGGCCTGCACACGCACGTGGCATTCAGAACCCGTGCCGGAGTGCATTCCAGCTCCATGAGACGCGACAAGTGCATCGCGGAGAATATGCACGCGGTCATGCAGGTAACGGTCGCCAGAAGCGCCAAAAACACGCTGATCGCCTGTTCGACGAAACGAGCAGTGAGAGTCACTTCGATTTTATGACACATAAAATAACGCGCGTAGTGGTTGAGCGAATAATCTAACGATAAAAAGCTAATAATAAAAAACTAATAATACGTGGAACTAAATTCCAATAGTGCGTCAGGATAAAACGTAAAAATCACATTTTATATTTATAGTCACGTCACGAGCAATTCTTAGTAGAGAATCTGAGTAAGCGTATCATTTGGCTTTGAGAATTTTTCAAGAAATCTACAGTGAGTCATAGAAACTAGTTATTACCTTGGTAATAGAAAGACAGAGTCCAGGTGTCATATTCGGGTATTCTTTTTTGAAGCAACATAGAAGACTGATTCCGAAGCTACCCGACAGCAAAAGCTAAAGATATCAAAAATGAAATTGTTGAGTCTCGAATAATCAATATTATCATCAATATTATAATAAAAGCGATTTATTTTATAAAGTATACATATGACATACTTACGCGCTAACAAGTGGGAGTATGATCTTACTTATAGCGTGAATGATGTAATAAACAAATTAGATCAGGATTTCTCAATCAAAAGATTCGAAATCGGAAAAAGCTGTCCAAATGAACCACCAGAATGGTCTCATTGGCTCCAATAAATGTTACATTCAATAAATGCCAATAAGGAGAAAATAGAACTCTTGAGTATACAATGTTTAAAAAAAGTGGCAAGAGATATTTTCCGGAAAGAAGACTGTTATATCTGTGCCACGATAGCTACGAGCACAAGTGTATTTTAGTCATCTACTACAACGGATGTTGGCTTGTTAGACAAGTAGGAAATGCCACTTCGATTCTCCTCGCGCCGTCATCGTCGGAAGTGTAAGTACAATCGCTGCTGATAGTACCGTGGTACTTACAGGTATGCCGCTCCAATATGGATTGTTGATGACGGGAAGATTGGGTGTCCATAGCAGCAGCCATAATGATAGAACGATCACCGTGACGCCGAGGATGGTTTGTAACGCGGCCAAGCACTGCGCCGTTCGTCGATAATAGACCAAAGGGGGCAGAAATTTCTCTAGACCTGAACGCAAACGTATTCCTCAATCTCTTGTTCTCTTCCTTTCGAAGTCGCCTAACCTACTGTGTTACTGTATCGTTCAGATGGCACTTTTTCGCTCAATACTGTACATACACGTCCATTGCGGAAAGGAAAGATAAGGCGCGCATAACCGGAAACATTTAATTGCGTGCGCAATAATAGACGCATCATCCTAGTTATCTTGGTGTGATGACAATGTTATATGGCTCAGGTATAAAATTCAGTTGCAGAATTGCGAGTAATTAATTACTTTTTCAAATAATTATCGAATTTAATTAACGATTAATATAAGCCTATTCAATTTTAATTAATCACTGATTTAAAAAAAATCTAATTAAAAATCATTCAATTAACGATTGATTTAAAGGAATTCAATTAAAAAATGTCGAATTAACGATTAAAACGAGCGAAAGTAATTAAAGATTATTCGATTAACATAGAGATTATTCCATTGAACATAGTCAATGTAATTAAGGGTTATTTAATTGATAATTGAAATAAGCAAATTTAATTGAAAAGCGCAGTATATATTCAACTCGGTTGATTACCATGAGCAATGTAAATAACTACGGTTACAATTTCGATTGACATCGATTGGTTAATCGTCTTACTGCGCTTTTCGATTAAATTATATACATATATATATATATATATATATATATATATATATATATATATATTGTTATATCAATTGTCAATTAAATAAATTAATTACATTGATTATGTTCAATCGTTAATCGAGTAATTTTTCTAATTTTTCTAATTACTTTCGTTTTAATCGTTAATTCAACTGTTTTTAATTGAATTCCTTTAAATCAATCGTTAATTGAATGATTATTAATTAGATTTCTTGAAGTCAGTAGTTAATTAAAATATTTTTAATTGAATAGACTTATATTAGTCGTCAATTAATTATATTAGAAATTATTTACTCAAATCAATTATTAAATTGAGGCGAATTTAATTGATATTTTTCCAATTCTGCTCAGTTGGTACCACCAACTTAGGTACCATCAACCACATAAATGTAGTTGCGTGTGACCTGGTTGTGGCAAGTAGAAATCAGTTGGGATAACATTTTATCATGGATACATTCTGGTTGAAGCAGCTAGATATCGTTACTGTGACTCAGCAATTGTTCTGTGGTAGCAGCAGCCATCGGATTAGTCTGTATTTTACCGTGGTTAGCATAAGCAGATTGATGTGTGGGCTAACCGTACTGTTCTTTCCGTGTACTGTTAAGGTTCGCGTGTGATTGGAGGATACTGGAATTCGTATCTCGTTGGAACGTGGTGAAAGTGAATCGCTCGTATTCTTTTATCGCCGATTCCGCTTTCCTCATCGTCGTGGGATCGTTGCTCTCGAGATCAACGAGGATCATTCTGTAACGCCTTCTCACGTCATAATTGTAAACGATTCGATCGTGCGGATCTCTCAAGTTCTGGAGAGTCGAGTCTCCATGCGATCGGAGTGTCTATTAGGTAAGTCGACCTAGCAGAGCCTAACACGTGCCATTCTCTCATCGTTTGGCGCGACATATATTTTCCCGCGGAGTAAACGGCCGATTGTCGGCCGATACTCCGTCGTGAGACCCATGCGAGCCCAAAAGAAAGGAGAGTTTCCGAACAGCACGGCCTCGCCGCTGTCCCTCCTTACAAGGTATCCTAACCGGATGATCGAACGTATGCCGTGCTTGCCGTATGAAACGTCGGGAAACTCGCCCACTACTGTCGTTGGCATAAGACTCGAGACGACCGTTGCTTGTCCGCAGGGCATTGAATGAAAATCCGAGTGATCGCCTACCACGACGATATTTCCTAACAACGTATAAATTGCAAGGTTCTTTCGAGCGCGTATTATTGGCACAAGCGTTTCAGCAAATCGGTAGCGCTTTAGCCGGAGGGGATTGCGAAAGAGAAGTATTATTTATTGACACGTTTTCTGCATTACGGTTTCCTTGAGAATCTTTTCCACGAGCCACCTTGTACTTTTTTTCATATGTAATTGTTTAAAACACACTTGAGCAGTTATTCACAGTCGAATCTAATATTTAAGACTGTCTTAAGTTCATCTTCAGATGCTGTACAAATCCTTTTATTGGCCGACGAAACGTCTGAAGATAATTTGAAGATAAACTTGAAACGATCTTAAACACTATGAATCATGAAGAAGAAAAAAACCACATTGTGCAAGGAAATATATTTAAAAAATAAGAAATATTCATTCAGTGAGTACTAATAACACATACTTACTTAAATCTGAATTCTTTTATTTAAGTGTGGTAAACAATTGCTTTCATAAAAAGCTACGAAAATGTGTTTTCTTATTTGAAAAATTTTATATTAGTGTAAATAAATATCCTATTAGTACTCATAACGGAGAAATATTTCTTATTTATTAGATATTTTTCCTCTCAGTCTATAAATACCGTCCTTAACTTGTTTATGTAGACATAGAAAGAACAGGTATTACAAGTTATAGCTGTACGACCCTGAAAGCGAAGATTTTAACAATATAGACGTATAAAAAAATGATTGACTGCAGAAATACACTGAAAGAAAAATTCCTAAAAAAATAGTAAATATTAATTTTTGGTGAGTATTAATAACATATTTACTTAAATTTAAATGAAATAAACGGCTGCTTTCAAGAGAAGTTTAGACTTCCTTAAGGTTTCAAGAAAATCCATGTTTTCTTATTTGAAATATATTTTACATTAGTGCAAGTAAATATGCTATTATTATCTACCAAATAAATATTTTTTTATCTCTTAGACATTTCTTCTCTTTCAGTGTATCATGTAGGCAAAAGTCGACTGTCGATAGCTAATATCGATGGTCAATGGACAGTGAAATCGAAGCGTATAGTTACACGTATACTATCATTACTCGGCAGGAACCGATCGCGGATGCGCTTTACGTTACGCACATGTAAAGGGAAAATTCTTTCGTCGCGCGATGCACGCACGGAATTCCGCTAACTCGTGGTCGTTCGCCCAGGACACGATGTGAAAAGTGCGCTTGGAAACGGAGGAATAATTTTTCCACCCACGGGCTCAGGACGCACGCACGCACGCACCTGCGCCTACCTGCCGCGCGAGGATTGAATCGCGGGCGAGCTCTAACTGTACCGCACGCGTAGACACGCGCTGCAACTGCGTAACCGGCGAATAAGGTAAAGTGAAACGGTGCAACGTAAACAGCACAGTGCGATGTGGAAATTCACTGTTGCTGTGAGTCAGCGAAAACAAAAGTACCACGTTTCCCCTGTCGATTGTTCCGCGATGACGAAAATTTTAGAGACGCTCCTCTTTTTTCACGACCTGACGCTAATAGAACGAGTAAAAAACACGAATCTCTTACCTATGAATGAGAGGCGAGTGTGATTCTCGGAGCGGGTAATTATCGTCGTTATCTATTTCGCTTATTGTTTTCGTACCAGTGTGAGATCCTTAGAATTATATAATTATCATGTCACGCCGACAGCTTGACCTTAATCCGCCACGTTTACGATCATTAGCCGAGCGATACAATGTATTTAAATTGTTAGGAATAATGCTGTTTTCGATTAATTACACAGCAATTTCTTTCTAATTGGCACTTCATTATTCGCGGAACTTATCACTGCATGTATGCATAATACGGCACTCAATTGCACGTCATACACGACAATCGAAATGACTTATTACATTGATTAATCTTAATCATCAATGTCCGTCCCGAGTAAGTGAGATAAAAATCCCTGGGCGCTAATAACACTAGTATCTAAATCTGGGCATTCTTGTCGTTCGGTTTGGTTTCTAAATACGAATATTTAAACTTTCAACGCAGAATATATGTGCACTTACTTTAATATATGCATATTCATGTATACGTATGTACATGTTTATATATTTTGTATTGAGAGTTTATATTCGTACAATAAGCATCCGTAATTCGTACAATAAAAATGTCCAAAATTAAGTACCGATGTTATTAATGTTCAAGCGTCCGTACTTTTACCTCAATATACGGGAATCTAGAAGACAAGCGAATGACATTTGTAGAAAATGAACGTGGCTGTCAAACTAGCTGGTGTTTAAATGTTTGCTAAGTCCATGAATATTTGCTCGGGCTAATTTCACACCGCGGAAAATAAATTTCCACCGTGCTGTGGGAGGAAGTATTAATTTTCTCACGTTTCCTTTCCGCGTTATCTTCGACTTAACGCGAAAAATGATTGCCACTGCGGCCGTTAAATGGAGGATATTGCTGCTTCTTTGAGAAGCGAGTCACACGCGACGCAAAATGCGGGACATGAATGCGTGTCGTTTGCATTGTGTCGTCTCGCCGTATGTGTTTACATGTGTGTGTATGCCGTATTTATTGCACAATGCAAGAATACACCGGTGCTGACATAAAGGGAGAAAGGGCCGTACTGAGAGGTCAAGTGGCCACAATGGCCGGTGCAACCAGACACGCATCTATCAGCTTTAATTCTATATCAATTATCGTTAATATATGGTCGGCGCGAAAGCGCTAGTGCCTTGCCCAATCTCTAATTAAAGCTCGATTTTATATGCCGACGTGGCGAGTTCAAATCACCTCATGTCCATCGTTAAAACGACGAGACGTCAAAGATTAAATTCCGTAATAATATATTCGTTACTAAAATACCGTCTATATCCTCGCTTGACGTTAGTGATTGGTTTATGCAAACCGCAACGTGAAGTGCAAAAACGTAAAGAAATAGAAATACATAGAAAAAGATTGACGCATTACATGAACCGTATCAACTACACCACGATGAAATAAGAAGTAATTTTATGTAAAACCAATTAAAGTAGGTAAGTGCATAAAAACATTAATCGAGTAGACGTCGAATGAGGAAAGATTGTAATAAAATATGAGGAAAGACTGTAATAAAAACGAAAGTGCAATAGTATATGCAATAAAGGTATGTGTATACTGCGACGCAATCAACGCGCAAATCCGCGGACGCATACGTTGAGAAAAAATATATAAAAATTTATTTGTGGAATAAAAGTTTGTTTCTGTGAAGTAGTTCACAAAAATAAACTTTATATCTCGCAAATAACTTTTTAAATATTTTTTTAAATAAATCACAGAAATACATTTTATATCGCACAAATAAATATTTTAGTGTGAAAAAACATTTTCAAGTATTTTTTTTCTGAATATGAACAGAATTAAATTTCATAGAAATAAATTTCACAGGAATAAATTTTATATTCTCGCAAATAAAGTTCTAAATATTTTTTTCTCAATATGAGATAAATTTCCAAGTATTTCTTTCCAATTTGAGAAAAAAATACTTAAACAAAATTAGATTTCACAGAAATAAACTTTCCCACAAAATAAATATTCCCACAAATAAGTTTTTAAATATTTTTTTCTCAGTGCGAGAAATATAAATTTAAACCGAATTAAATTTCATAGAAAGAAACTTCATATTTCAAATATTAGAAATAAACTTTATATCCCACAAATAAATTTTCTTCTCAGTATTTCTTTCTCAATGCATCTGCAATCTGTTTTATACCGCGTCACAAGTATCGAGACGCAGCAATGACACGAGTGTCCTCGTGGACGGATGCGAATACGCGTTACGTTATAATGGAGATAACAATGAGCGACGCTCAGGTCTACGCTGATATTCCGCGGCTCCGTTATGCTCGGCGAATTCGCCGTAAAATATACGGCCCACGTACGCGCAGCACAACATGGCAACGTACTGGGTGGTACGTTTTCATTATCCACCTGGCCTCAATGCATAGATAATACTAACGACGTGACGTATGGCTTGCGTAAGAAGAAATGACCGCAGGCCATGATTGGGTAATTGAGTTGTGCCGATAACCGATAGATGAACGCTCGTTAGATGCATCCGATTTGTCTAATTAACTATTCAGCGTACAGGCTGACAGGCGACTTATCTTCCAGCCTTTGAAATGTCAAACGTGACGAATTCGCAGGTATCAAACGCTTTGCGCTCATCTTTATCTTGTGTCTTTGCGTCTTAATCGCTCTTGTGTGTGTGTCCTAATTAGTTAATGTGCGGTGATACAGACCGCTTGAAAAAGATTATCGTGATATTCCCCGCGAATTTACGAACGAATTGTCTACAACGTGATGAGCAGCGGTCGTCTGACAGCTCGGCTGTCCGTAGACGAAGACCAAACGCGGATTACGAGTGTGAAGACGCCGAAAATTGGGCGTAAGAATAGCGAGCCGATTGGTAAGTCCGCCGCTACAGCTACCAAAATAGACTTAGGACCGCGGCCCTTAAGCAGGGCAGAGCGGAATCACAGTACGCGCACGAGCTTGTCGATTTCGACCCTTCGCCGTTCGCACGTGTCGCTTCCCCTTTCCCGTAAAAATACGGAAACTGCGCTTGTTGTTCAAGTAACGAGCTATTTGTCGTATAGGTAGTTAAGTTAGTACTCGAATTATTCCCTCCTATCGGGAACCAATCTATAAACAGAATCGCAAAGTTATACGATCGAAATCGATCACGAGGAAGTCCTCGTTTTCGTGAAGCGCGTCGAACTGATCGTCGAGCGTTCTCAAAAGCGCGCGTCCAAAAAGATCACGCGATATATTTCCGGCCCGGTACTTCCGCTATCCGCGAAGAACGCATGTGCATCCAGCTTAAAGTGTACATACGGTGGCCAGCGGAGCAAGAAACAAACGTTTAAAATCCAGAGCGAGACGTACGCGCCGTTAGAACGCGAGAGAATAACTCGATCAGAAAACCCGCGAGCTTCTTTACCGAGTAAAAGCAGGAGTTCAGCGAGACGGAAATATGCCCGATTAAATTTGCTCATTTTTCTTCAAATGCATTTCTCGTTGTAAAATATCATTTAATTATAATTTAATTTACATACGCAAGTACGCGAGGTCATAAAATGAACGCGCGAATTTCTTTCCAGCGGCGGGATCACGCGAGATAAAAAAAAGTATCAGCGAAACGCGTGATAAAATGTTAATCTTATAGTACACTGAGAAAAATGTTCGGTATTTGTAATTTTAATCACATAGAGAAATAATTACTGTAAATTATAGTCAAAAAAACCATTCTTATATAGCACAAATGTTCTCTAAATATCATAAGAACGTTCTAAGAATATTCGAATATTCATAGATTTGGATATCGTTCTTAGGATATCTATTGAACATTTGTGCTGTATGGGTTCCTGGTATTAAATTCTAATATAATGTTAATGATAATAAACTTATATGTTTGTGTTACTATCTTACGATATAGTTAGGGCAAAAAACTATAATTTTAATCAGATCAATTATTACTTTCTCTGAGTATATCGATATCTTTTCCCACAGGTTCTCGTGAATAATTGCAGATAATTTATAAGTGCATGTGCATGATTAAAATGAGAGAGGCTAACTTCAAAAAAGAATGCGCGAATTCCTTTTCTGCGGGGAAATTGTGGGAGATGAAGTGATATTGGTAAAACGCCTGATAAAATGTAACTCTTACACCGACGCCTCCTAGAATGAATTATCACGGATTATTCATACATGCATATACACAGTTGTAAGACGAGAAGGTAACTCGAAAGGCAAGAACTTCTTTGCCGCGGAGGAGTTCAGTGAAACGGCAACGCACGTCATTAAATTCTACTCTCACGCCTTTTCAGACGCGTCGTTAGAAATTGTCACGTAATTTGGATGTAGGCGTGTGCGAGACTGAGAAACGAAAGAAACGAAAGCTCGAATGGTCGCGCGAATTTCTCTTCAGCGAGGGGATCACGTGAGACAGAAGTGCATTCGTAAAACGCGCGATAAGATTTTACGCGTCCGCGTGAATTGTCACGGATAATTCCTGTGTGCATGCGCGCGATTAAAATCTCGCTCATGTCATTAAGATCTAACGAGTTTCTTTTTTTTTCAGCGAAAGATTTACACGAAGCAGAATCATGATATCAGTGAAACGCGTGACGAAACTTAGTCGACGCGTTTCTTGCCACGCGCTCGCGAATTATCGCCGGGCAATATATTAAAAACACCACGAGTGTCAAACGCCATCTCAATTTTTTTCTGGTGTCTCTTTCAAAATACTGCCGCGTCACCGCGCGCGTTACATTCTCGTCACCTCTCGCCCCCCATTAACCGCCATTTCCCGTGCGCGCGCGCACGCGTTCTATGCTATCTAATTATCGCGATGATAAAGAACCACTACACTTTCCTGCGGCCCGACGGCGCTAATTATAATCTTCCTGTCTGCCTTGGCAGCAACCTCGATCCTGTCGGCCGGCGTGCATTAAAAGTGACAGTTGCGCGCGCTCGTTAGCGCAACCGTTGTAATACCGTCGCGCGTCAGCGCGACGGCGATTATCGAAAGAAATCGAGAAAATCGAGCGGCACCGGGCCGGTCGCATTCCGCGGCGAGAGCGGCAATTCCCTACTCGTTGCCCCGCTCCTCGCGGCCCATGCGCGATCACCCTTGGGAGAAATCGATCGAATCGTCGATCGCAAAAAGCGGATAATTATAACCATTTCGCGAGACCGAGGGAAGAAAAGGAAAAGACGCGACCGCTCTTCACGCACGCTCGAGACTCCGCGCGTATCCCAACACGCTCGCCCAGCTTCCTCAAATACTCGCCATTTTTTTTGCCATCGTAAACACGCATTGCCCCCATGTGATGACGAGCGCAGGAATCACCGCGCTCTGCTAATTGAGAGTCGTGAGAGTCGCCGGTAGCACAACGCGAAAATTGACCGAGAGACAGTGTGCCACGGTTGGCGTTGGCGTTGGAGCACGGGGATTCACAGACCGTGCGAAAGACACGGCGATGATAGGGGAAAGTACGAAAGGTTGAGAAATTAGAGACAGATTATGTTCTCGCGCGTGATACGCTCGCAAGCACAGCGAGAGAAAGAGAGGCAAGGAGAGAGTCCGGACGGAGAAACCGGTGTCCACTTACGGTGGCCGGTTCGGTGCATCACGATCATTCTGCTGTGCCTCAGAGAGTTTCTCGTGGGCGTGTGTCTGCCAGCTATTTGCGAAGCGGCCAAATTCACGGGCACCGTGGTCGACAAGCAGTTGGCCATCGACGGCGCCCGACCGAGTTCCTTCTCTTTGTCGCCGCGGCAGATCCGGCCAATGTTCCCGGTCGAGACCGCACCTGTTGGAACGCAATTAGTGAAAATGCGATCGCTTTTCGCTGCATCGACTAGTCTCCTCTCTCTCTCGTGCTTCTCTCTTGTCATCAATCTCCGCGCGCGCAATTTGTTGTGTACATTTTGCTTTATGTCGTATCTTTCGTGCGAAACGACGATTTAGTCTTGCAATTGCACGGGACTGTTGCTCTAATGGAATTCATCCCAGAACAGATTCTGGTACGTATTATATGTAAAAGAAGGCTCTACAAGGTATACAATTGAGTGAGAGAAGAAAATAGGCAATGAGTCAGTCGTGGTTGTTGGTGCGAATATTTAATAAACTGTGCGAGGCTAGTAGAGTGTCTGACAGTGTCAACTCACGCGTCGATATAATTTGCTCACAAGATTGCAAACTCAAATAATATAACCTACTAAGAGATGTCTCAAAGACATTCAAAAGATATCCTGTTGCTTTTGGACGTCTTTAAAGTTTATATTAATAGTCGTTACTTGGAACTCCTCTCGTATGAAATATTCAGATTTGAGTTCAGAGTTAGATGAGAGTTTTTCAGTTGGACCGCGATTACAGATATACATGTATCATATTATTCAACTAAAAAGCTTGAATCTAATTCTGAATAAAAATCTGAGTATCACATCAAAAACAGATTTGGAGTAACGACTATTAATACAGACCTGAGATCTCTTTCAGCAATTTGTGTTGTCTGGGAAGAGTCTCTAGGCTATTCTATTATTTGTTCGATTATTTACCAGTGACTTTGGCAGCGGGGATCTTCGACACATTGCCGACGCTGATGGCGTTGCTGACTCTGTTATTGTTGTTGTTGTTGTTGATGTTGTTGTTGCCGCTGATGTTGTTAATATTGCTCTGAGACGTGCCGTTGTCGTCGCGGACTTGGTTCAAATTGCCCACGCTCATAGCGGAAGTGACGCAAGGCGGCATCACCGGCACGTCCTGCGGGGTCGAAGAAACGGTCGCGTTAATTTTGGCAAATGTCGCTCGTCGCATCGGCGAGGGACGGATGGCGCGCTTGAAAAATTCGGTGGCACGATCGAGCAGGACTGCGAACGACAAGCGAGCTGTGTCTTCTGTCGGATATTTCAAACGTCTGCGATCTGATCTCTTCAAAATTTATTCGAATTGTGGCAATTTGAAGTCATACTTTTCCGCATTCTTCGAATTTTTTGACGCTCAATAATTCCCACAGTGAGACTAAACATCTACTTAATATTTCATTAAAGTGGGACACGTTTTATTAGTGTTATGTTTCTCTTATCTTTATGCTTCTGTGCCCTCGCGACTCGTGAAGGACTCGATAACTAAAGTCGGTCGTATTGCGCCGTCACGCGAAGCTACCTTCACGACGAGAGACGCGGTAAACGTAGACACGTGGGTAAGGCCGTACCTTGTAATTGTCGTAAAAGCTCACTGGCCGGCTTCTTGGCGCATACTGAATCTCCTCGTCCGGCTGCATCGCGTTTACACCTTGTGACAGTGTCCCTAAAGGATGCGCGCGCACTTCGTAGGACGTCCTCCGTGTAGGTCTTTGTCCCTTCTGTGTTTTTCAGTTCCGGCGGATTTTTGCAACGGACGGGGGCACGAACGGCATGACAATATATAACGAGACCACAATTAAACGTCGCGGTGCGTGATCGCGCAGTAATTTTGTGTGTGTAAAAAAGAATCATAAACATCAATTATGGAGTGTTCTTTGGTCGGGCACTAATGGTTACTAAATTAATCACCGCATTATAAAAATATTATGTTATTTCGATTATTGCGCCTCTCAAAAATAGAGAACCTAGACAAAAGTAAGGCAAACACTTCGATGAATGACCGGTCGCCGGTGAATGACCTCACAATTTTTCTTATTCTTGTACACTCAGGCTGAAGGCAAAAGGCATACTGATGGCAACTATATAGATGATAATTATAATTTTGTATGTAAAATTAATGTATATAGTTTCATTACTGAATATATTATATTAATATATTTAATTACTATATAATATATTAATTATATCTTTATAATTATATCATATTTAATTAATTATATTACATTAATATATTATATTATAAATATAATTTATATATTTAAAATAACTAAAAATAAATTAAATAATTAAAATAATTAAAATAATTACACTATAATTATTTTAATAATTTAAATAATTATATTGTAATTTATATATTCAAAATAAATGATTATAAATATAATTAT